GCGCGATCATTTAGTTGCCAATCCAATATCATACGTATGTACAATGTGTATACACTAAACGCGCATTATATTTGACTATTTCGCCCTATCGAGTTTGTCAGAACGCGTATTCTTATAAGCAGGTTACGAATGTTCGCGCAATTCCACGTTTCCACGAATACGCATATCTAAAGAAACGAAACACCACAAGATGAGCTTGTCTCTACCGTCGAATCTACCTCGTGTATTTTATATACTTTGGCGATAGTATGCATATGGTGTGCTCAAGTTTGCACAAAAATCCGCAGTCTACTAACGAGCACGTGCATCTCAGTTTTCAGATGCTTGGTCCGTCCGAACGATGATTTGTCAGGCCGTAATTCGTGTAATTGTTACGCTCGGTTTCGACGACTAACGAAGAGAAAGAAGAGAAAGCTGGACATCGGAAAAAGAAGAGAGAAAAGCTGCGATATTAGCGTATTAACGGTGGTGACTGAAAATAAAGGCAGACGGCGAGAAACTCGTAATGAGAAGAATCGAAGGCATCGAGGGGGAAAGACGAGGTATTCGCCGAGAGAACGCTATTAAGATTAAGATGCAAGGGGTGTGATAGAGGAATGGAAAAGCGGATAGTGGACGACGGGAATGCGGGCCGAGGTCGAAAGGAACGCCAAGCCTTCGTAGAATTCTCGATACGCGAACGCGTAGAAGCGTCGCTTTATTAAACCGGCTTTTATCACGTTCCAGAAACCGAGTCTCCAGTCTTTTTTCAGCCACGCGAGGCTCCAGAAAACGCGATCGATCGTTTTCATGCTCGGTGGCGCTCGTGACACACGTAAATGTGCGAAGCGAGATAAAGAAGATGATCAAACTCGTGCTCGTTTAGTATAAATTTATAACAAACTTTGGTACAAACGATAATCGAGTAATCGGTTCGTAAACTCGTTCACAACGATCGAACGAGCATTTTCGAGTCTTTCGTGGAGCTACGTCTTCGTCGAAGGAAGAACGAGGAACGCGTTTCGTCCGAAATAAGAAACGTCAATTTGTAGAGAAATTTTGTTGAAGCAACGCGATTAGCAGACAGATGTTTGCACTTTGTTTCAACTTCGAAGCATCGTGTGCTCCCAGCCAGCGACCAGCGATACACCGAACATTTGTTTCCGTCGCAGTGTGTTGTGACGCGTGATTTCCACTGTTCTTCGATCTTTACCACCTCGAACGGGAACAGGCAACGAGCAACACCTTCCGTGTTGAACTGGCAATGGAAAAGCGAACGAACACAGAGGAGGAACGTTGGAGAAGGAACAGCAACGTCGTCAGAAAGTTGCTCGTTGTTGCTTCAGCCAGGCCGCAGCTTACGAAAGGTGACGAGACTCGGTCGTCTGATAGCAACGGTGAACGACACCGATTAAAGTGGCGTAGCTACCGTGCGAATCGCGCCTCCCGTGTTACCACCTGTGGAGCCGAACGAGAAAGCGATATAGAAATTCCAAGCAGGAAAGCGAGTTCACTTGTTGATTTTAGGAAACTCTAGGGAAAACGCGCACCAGCTGCAACTTGTTGCTAAACCGGCACGCTTGCACGAGCAACTCGTTCGATCTTCTGCTGCTGCTGCTGCTGCTGTCGCTGCTTCTCGGTCAATTTCTATTCGTCTCGACTGGTTTGCACGGTTGCTCGATTGGAGCGTCGACAACGACCAAAGACATTTCGCACAGATAGAACGAGATAGAAAGCCTGTCCGCGACAGACGCCCCTCTATCTCCCTATTTCTATCTACTGTGCGTAATTAATTCAAGAAGAACGGATAGCGACGACACCAATAGAAGGCAGCGATACCGACGATCGTCTTTTACACGGATTCCTCGTTTTTCCCTTTAGCCTGTTCGTCGATCGTTTTCCTAACATTTTCTTTACCACCGGAGTATTCTCGTGAAGAGGGCACGCGGTTGTGTCGACTTCGAAGCATTCGAAATTCCTTTTTGCGCTTTTTTAAAACTCGTAAAACGGTGTGATAGAAATGGTATTTTGAAATCCCGAAAAGTGGCAATGTTTTATAACGCTGAATACGAATGCGTACTTTTGTTTTAGGGGAAAATTAACCGAAGACATTAGGCGCTTCTCCAGAAACTGTGTTGTTCGACGTTGCATCCACTAAATGTTCGAAACTCTGCATTCGATTAACTTGAAATTTTCACACGCTATTCCGCTTAACGTTACGTAGAACGTGGCGTGATATTCTTTTGATATCTTAATCCGTGCAGTTTGTATAAATGTTTCGAAGGTGGTTTTCTTCAGCGGGAAGTAAAATATCGTTTCTAACAAGCCGTCGTTTTCTTATTTTCCAAAATTAAGCGTCTAGCGTGAGGAAGGTGGCGAGTTTGCATCAAACCAACCGTACAGTCGTCTCGTCCTTGCTCGTTTCTTCTTTTCCAAACGCTCTCTCGTTCGTCTTCGCGATCTGTCGTCGGTAAGAGAAGGTCTCGATGCGATTCAAGCGACCCAAGTCAGGGCATCACGTTGACAGTAATCGTAAGAATGATGCCTCCGGATAACAATCTCGTCGAAATCCTAGATATCGTGGGATTACAGAAAAATTCACTTAACTGGTAATTGACGATGAATTCACCCATTTATTTATTTCTTCTCTCTTTTCCGTCTCGTCTATTTTGTTTATTTATTTATTTATTTATTTAACCAGCACGGATCATCGTATACACGAGAACACGAAAGTGTAAGTGTAGTGTAAGCGAAGCGTGAAAGAGCGAGCGCTAATTTCAAGTTACGATTTTTCAAATTTCACACGAGTTGTCAGCGTGGATGCTTTAAGGGAGTATTCTGGTCTAGAAATTTGAAAAAATCGACAATTTTTTTTTCATATTTCCAAAGTTTAGACATTCGAGAATATGCCCTTAAAAGGATTTTTCAAAATTTCAATTATTTTATGAGTTACAGCCATTTTTGCGACGCGTGTTCACGTTGTCCGAGTAAACTTGTCTCAAAACTTTAAACGCGTTTTTCTCGAAACTACTTTTTTCGAGTTGGCGTGCGCGATATCTCAAGTTCTAATGAACCGATTTATTTGAAATTTTGTCTGAATATTCCCTATATACTCCTCTATCGTCCGGAACACGCTCAGCTCAAAATCTTTAATATTACTATTTTTTAAACGTTCGGAATTGTCAACAAAACGTGCGAAATAAGAAATTTTTTTCCAAACGGCCGTCATTTTGTGAAAATATGTTGCATTGACTTTTCCAAGATTCAGACGATAGCGGCATCCATACTAATTAAGAATCTGTTCGCTTTTTTTGTTTCAAATGACCAGAAGGGTTGATATCATGCACGACACCCCATTTTTTTCGCAGCACCCACTTTGCCAGCTCGTAGCTTTTTAAATATTGAGCTTTTTTTCCAGTGAATTCTTTACGTAATCTCGAAATATCGATAAACAAATGCTAAAAAGAAGGATAGCAAAAATATTTTTTGTTTCGCTTGTACAGAGCTTCTTCAAAGATCGCCCGAAATTCATGCCTCCAGGCCAGAATACCCCCTTATGTTGCGTTTACATTGATCCAATAGCATCGCAGTCTAGCGATCCGATACAGCGCTTTCGTTCCAGTAAGCAATCCAATCCAGCGACGGGATCGAAAAGCTGGCTTTACGTTAGTCCAGTCGCTGGTTCCAGCGATTACGTTCCACAATGGTTCGACTGGAATTCGTCGATGTCTACTTTGTTCCAGATTTCTTTGAACCGTCGAATGTGGTGGACTACGGTGGCAGTGGATTCGCGTAAAAATCGGATAAAACAGCAGACGTACGCCTCAGCCAGCATCGGATACTGAACCACATCTGAATTCCAGTAACGCTGGAATGTCGCGTTCGCGGTAGCGTCGAGGATAAACGCAGGATTGAAAAGTAGACTTTCGGTGCAGTTGCTGGACCGGTGGATTGTTTATTAGAATGGTAAGACGGTCGACGAATGGATCGAGGATTTGAAAAAGTAGGGTCAGGTCCGCTATGGTTCTACGCTGTTCAAGGCGAACAAATTATCATGGTTATTTATTTATTTATTTATTCGCGTGGATAAAATTCCTTTGGTGTATACAATGCAGAGAAATGGGAGACATAGACGAAACATACGATATAAAAGTATAAAATGGAAGAAAAAGTGAACGTAAAATTTAGACGCATGTACCGACAAAGCTGGCGAACCGAGGACTGTTCACAGCGTTAAGAATATTTTTATAATTACGAAATGTTCCGACTGCCGATTTATTCGTTTCAGAGGCGACGCATCGTGGAAATTGTCAAGCAATTTTCTCGTTGTTTCCTCGCCTTTGTCTCTGTCCATCCTTGCGTCGAAAGCAAAGCAGAACTCGGCTTAACGACCTTTCGAAGACGTCGCGAGTAACGATTCGCCCGTAGCCAAAAACGTAGTAGTCCAGATCGAAGAAAAGAGTAACAAAAAGAAAAAAAAGAAAAAGAAGCAAAATAGCGAACGATAAGATAGACGTGATCATCGATAGGGAGGCCAATAGGGTTTCTCTAACGCAGCTTCAAGTATCGTCGACGAACAGGAACGTGGTTTTCTTTCTTCTGGCCAATATAAGAAGCAGCGCGTTCGTTCGCGCGTACCTGACCGCTAAAGGTGCGTTTACACCGAACGAACAAGGATATTCGCTCATCCGATTTGGCTAGCGTAAACTCGTTGGGAAGCATAACGATTTAGGTTTAAATTACTTAATTTGGAATTTTTCATTTACTTTAATTTTATTACCAGTATGTACCTAAATTAAATTACCTGTGTAATTACATTATAATGAACATAATAATAAACATAATTTATAGCGTAAATCGCTATAGCCCAATATCCTTATCTGATTTAAGGGTTGATGATATTAATTGAAGGATATTATATATGTTATTATTATTATGTATCAGTAAAAACTCGGAAATCTATCGACGTACCATCGGCAAATGTTTGAAGCGAAATTTTTTTAATGCTTCATATTCTTTTGGATACTAAGGCAATCTTGAGTCTCTCAAACGACAAGAACGACGTAAACTCGAGAGAAGCGTTTTTCATGCATTAAATTTGACAAATTAAAGTTAAGATACCTCTGTTAGAACGTTCAGCTGGATCGACTAACGTTGTAAAAAATATACGGTGCTGTTTAAAAGACTCAAGGTCACGCGGATATTTCAGAAGATATAAGATATTGAAAAATGAAAATCTACTCGTCGCATCAGGCTCCTCGGGTATACTAAAATTTCATTTGAAGTATTTTTTTACAAAATCGCTAGATAAAGAATCATTTCGTGTAGCAATTTCTACTATGACCAACCCTGCGTATATTGATTTAAATAATAAAAATAAATAATTATAACTAATAAAAAGAAATATAAGAAACTCTCAGTTTCAAGTAAAAGATACAACATATTTCTTGCTCCAGGAATTCAATAGTAGTTAAATCATCGTCAAAGAGGAGACTTTGTCCGAGCCAATAGTTAGCAATAAAACACGAGCAAATTCGTGGCCAGATATCCGGACACTACTGTACCACGTTACATTACAAGGAAGTACATCCTGAGCAACGGAACGAAACATCTCTCTGCTCGCCTATAGAGATTCGTCTTGCCACGAATCAAAACGAGAATGGAACGCGCGAAACGTTTTAACTCGAACGATCGATTACATCGAAACCCTTTCTCCCGTCTACTCTGCACTTTCCTCTTATTCTTCGCACGAGTTGACTTTGCGTCGATTATCGTCGTCCTTTCCTCCTTTCATCCGCAGCATCGCCTGGTTCTTTTCTTTCGACCGGTGTACAATTAGAAATGAAATTTCGAAATCGGTTTCTACTTTCAGCCAGAACTGTTCGATCGTCTACACGCTCGTACAGACAATTAGTTCAATGATGCTGTAGTTCGATGACAAAAAGTATTACGATTATGCATCCGTATTTCTGAAATATCATTGAAGGAGCAGAGAAGCTGGGTAGAAAATTGCTTCACTTGTCAAGTAGCATAGAACACTTTGAATATTTGAATATACTTTGAATATTTTGTGTATTTCTCCGTGTTATGTGCGTTCCGTGCAATTTTGCGCTTTTATTCGCATCTTTTGCAAATGCATAAAAGCCCGCAGTCTAATGATCATTGAACGAACGGACAGAAGAAGAAAACAACGTTCCTCCTCGTTCGTGACTCTGTCGCGATCTTCGAATTTGTACATTTTGCACTTATCTTAGCAAACGAAAACATACGTTGACATCGTAAGAAAATATTTAACACGAAATTGAAGCAAAAGACGATACGTACCGACAACGATGTTTCCATATTTTCTGCAACTCTCGGATATCGCTCAGCGTTAGAGAAATACAGTCGGGTCGAGGATGGCCGAAAGAAGGTAAGAGGGGGATTAATGGGATTCTATCGTCGGTGTTTCGCGAAACGAACGTCAGTTTCGTGCTTTTCCTCCCTTCGTGCTCTCCCTTTTCTCTTTTCGCCTACGTCTCGCTCCGCTCTTTCGATCGATGAACAATCGGAAAAGAAATTCTGCGATCGATTTGTATTCTCAGTCAACCGTGTTTATTCGATCAGTCGTCTACTCGTATTCGCTGGAAATACTCGAATGACATCTAATACAACGATTATTGGACGAGCGTGAAGAAGGTAACGTTTTCTTCGTATCCCGGATGGCGTGCTTTTATGGTCAGTGTTTCGCGAAACGAGAGTCAGTTCATGCTTCGTATCATGGTGAAAAACGAAGCAGCGGCGGATATCATCTGAAAGAAAGGGACGGCAGAAAAATAAGAGAAGGAAGGGAGAAAGTTCAGGGCAGAGAAGGAAAGAAAGTTACAGAGGCAAATGTTCCCAGCGACAGCTCGATGAACTTCCCAGCAGTCAGGCGAACCGGTTTTTGACCTCTGATCAGAAGCATGTTCACCGGATTTCGTAAATTGCAGGGATACCGATACCAAGGCATCGAATACCCGGCGTGACCAATAGCTTCGCTCTGAAAGAAAGACATAGAACGAGACTGAGAGACCGCTGAAGAAATTGACGCGCAGGTTCTAAGTAGAATTTTCTATAAGAGTCGGACGTCGGCTGAAAATCAAAGACAACGAGGCACCAGATACGCGAGATTATGTCGGATACAGCGTAGCAAAAGCAAGCGATGGGAATAGCGAGTAACTAGCAATAGGAGCAACCAAATAAACCAAATAATCTAGAACTGATCGTAAGTTGGAGGAACGCGGTACGAGCGAGATAAAGAGCAAACGTAAGCAAGTCCGTTGCAAGGCCAACCGGCTAAGGTTAATAAATATACTACTATGCTATTATTACTATAAGCGTCAGACGCATCTGGATTTTTTGTCGGACACATGGCAGCTACATGGAAAGATTTCCTCGGATTATCAGTGCACGTACATCGTCGATAATTTAAGGTTCTCGACTAAAAGGATCGATATATATATATATGTAGTAACGTATGGATTCTTAGAGTAAGGACAAGTAATGACGGTAGATTTAAAGTTTAGTGTAGTTTAATAAGCGATATTCGATAACAAAAGGACCGACTATAATATCGTCGCGCGTCGATTCACACTCTATGTCCGCTCGACTCACACTCTGCTTCTCAACTGCCTCTCTGGCCGTTGTAGCATCTCTTTTGTCTTTTGCTAGGCCTACCGCACACGTGTTCCGCGGACGCTCGTAGCCAAGGTCGCCTTTTCGCGTAGGCCTTTTCGGCGAAATTATTTATTTGAAGGACCGATAACGCATTGATGGAGCCGACAGCGCCTCGGCTCTCGCGACATTGTCTGTAGTTAACTCGATGTTTCTTAGGCCCTTTTCCCCGATACTACATATATATATAGTGTCGATACAATATCGTTAATATTTATCGGCAAACTGGATCTTCGTTGAGAATCTTAAAACATTTGATAATATTATCGATTGTCTGAGATTTATTACGAAGCAAATATGTATCGATACATCGAAGTTATACGCGTCCGAGATTTATAGGAAATTAGAGTAATCGCGAGCGAGACGATACTGCGTCGAAACTGTACGAAATAAAGAAAAATTTTCCTAAGATCGCCGCTAAAGATTTTCTAAAAAATTTCTAAAAATTTCGTCGTCTGCCACTATTTTTGTATAAATAAATCAGATTTTCCGTGTACGTGTACATACAGCAAAGATACTTTTCTGTTCAGTTATACCGTGTTTCACGCGTAGAACACGCGAATTACTTTAAGGTGAAATTATTCGCAACCGAACGTAGGTGGATCAGGTGTCGAGTAGCTTGGATGAGGAACGCATCCGCCTTAAAAACTCGACACTTTAGTATTAGTATATATCCTTATTATGAGAATGATAAAAAGATTGTTTCTCTTATCCTCGGTTCTTAATCAGAAAAAATTCTAAGGGATGAATCATCCAATTTTTTTTCGAAAACAAGTTGGAAATTTCTTGCAATGTGTTTTCTAAATTATGTCACTTTTGCGACACAAGGATGTGATGTATTTTCCTAACACGTAAATGACAAGAATCAATAACCACGTCTCTCGCTAAACGCAAAGTATAAATACTCTATCGCGCTAAATTTCCAATAAATATAAATGAAATTCAAATCTGATAATGCGGAAACGATCAACACAACCATAGAGAGAAGATTAAAAAGGAAATACCTAGCAGATCTCACAAAGGATATATCCTAACAAACACGAAGATGTTGCAACCCATTGGGGGTTGCCACCCACATGATAATCAAACAGCTAAAAAATTCTACCAAATGTCCAAATTGAACAAATTGCGAATGTGAAATTTTAAATAAAAAAAAAAAAATCTGATAATCACCTGAGAGAGTGATCTATTATTCGTCCTTGGTCTGTACAGACACCCCTTTAACTCATCGACTTGCTTCTTCATTCTCTCTGAAACAGCGTTCCGACCTTTGTATGCCCAACGCTTCCGTTCCAGTTCTGCGTTTTTCCTCATTTGAGCCTTTCCTTCTCGAGCAGCTCGTTTTTACACCGCTGAACGACAGTTTTCAGCAGCTGTTCCCGCAGTTCTCCTACTTTCTGCCGTAGCGACTCGATGCCTCGCAACCTCTACGCATCGTCCAACTTTCCTCTCAAACGCGTCTCGGCCTGTAAACGTCGTTCTCCGAATTCGTCCTGTTCACCGTCGAGTTCTTGCGCTCGGATGCGTTCTTCGTCCAAGCTGCTCGTTGTTACGTTCTATTTAGTTGCCGACGAGAAGATAGAAACGTTAACTGACGTTTAATGCAACTGGCAATAAGCTCCGCTTTCGGCTAATCTGCTATATGCGGGAATACTGGTACAAGGAGAGGATTAAAGTTGTTGGAAAGTAAATTTACGATATGTAATGATTTAAAGGAGAGGGGAGAAAAGGATGAGGGAATCTAAGTACAATAGATATTACAGAAACATAGCAAAAGGGCTACCAAAGTATCTAGAAGGGAACACTGGAACGAGGAGGGAGAAAGAGGATGCAGATTATGCAAAAAAGGAGAGGAGGACTTGAAACACGTATTAGAAGAATGTGAGATAACAGGAGGAGCGAGGAACATGGTAGAAACACTGAATGAGGCTGGAGAAGGACTGGCAGAATTGAAAGCGATAATAGAGAAGAGAAAAGTAACAGACGAGGGGGAAGAACGACAGGAAGGGAGCACAGCAAGGAAATAAAGGTCAAAGACGGAAAGAGCACTTAGTTATGAGTGTTAGTTATAAGTTAGTATATAGAGACAGATCAAGTAAGGTGCAATAGTTAAGTATAAACAGTTGTATACAATTATAGAAGAGCTAAGAGATGTAAACCGAAAGTCGTCCAAAGCCGAAAGGTATGGACCAAGTATAAATAATAATAATACATAATGATTTATTCAAATCTTACTCGATCTCGATATTGACAATTGACTGACAGACTGATGGATATAAAATTCTTCCGTTGACTAAATGATCACTAACTCTTCGATAGACAATGGTAATTATTCGGTTGACGAACGGTGATTAATTAATATGCTCGATAAACGAACGGAAAAATATTCTCATTCGATTCGAGTCGCTACATTTATATCCGTCGAAGATGAAAAAACGTCGGGATCTTCCCTTCGAAAATGTTTCGCCGTTTCCTCAACGTTTGTTCGACTGCCGACTTTGTTTACAATTTAAATTATCTTAATATCGTTATAGAAACATAATTAGGTAAATATAAAGACATGGTCGGATAAGTGTTCGCAAGATACAGCGGCTTTAACTGCCTTTCGCTTCAAATACCGCAAACGTGGTTTCAAATAAACGTGTTAGACTACCTTGATCTAAAGTAATTATCAATTTTACTTTCGCGCTACGGCTCGTGCGGGTCGCGGCACGAGACACTCGTCACCTGCTCCACCTACGTTCGTTCGCGAATAATTTTCTGTTAAAATCGTTCGCGTTCTACGTAAATGAGAAAAGGTATATATGTTTCAGAGAGAAACACCGTATTGCCTCGCCAAATTCTTAAATATCCTGTCTGCGTTTCATGCAACGTTAAGAACACCGTTCCAGACGAATCGGATATTATCGAAGTAACTCGTACGTTACGTCTATCGCGATTAAAAGTGTGCGGCTGCATTTATTGCGGTCAAACGTCCATGAGCTGCGTATTCCTATTTCTATGTGCTATATCGAAGATAATATATTCCATGTAACGGTAAAATCGTGGCAAGATAATCGTGCGACTCGATATCCCTGTCGTAACGTTTAAAATTTTGTAAACGTACGTACGTAGACTCTTTTGATCGATCGTAGGCTACCTGGAAAAATTAGAAAATCTTCGAGAATAACGCGATCGACGCAAAGAAACAACGGCAAACGTATTTACATATTTGCTTCTACTACTTGCAAGTAGAAAAACGATCGTTTCTCTTCTTTATCTTTGAAATATCGACGATACGACGATTCGTGCCGCTGTAGCATATTATGCACAATTATCCTGAATAATTTACCTTCGATCGAAGAAGATCCGGTGGCCAATTGCAGAGAAAGAGCTGAATAATAAAGATCCCAAGTTGCGTGACGAACTTGACCTTGCCGGGATTGTCCTGTTCGTCAAGTATCAGCCAAGTGTATGTCATGCAAGGTTATCACGCTATCGAAAGAGAGGAGGAGAAGAAAGAAAAGGGAAAAGAATCTTTGGCTAACTAGCTGAATACTTGCCTCGACTATTTTGAAGCCAATCAATGAGATATTGTACGTGCTGGTGATCAGTTGTATCAGAAACATTATATTTGTCAAGTTTTCGATATCCTCGCACAATCTGGCAGCATAAAAAACGGCAGCTAAAGACGTAATGTCGAGAAAGAATGTCGATTTCTTGCGGGTAGTGTCGATTTCTTGCGGGTCTTGTGAAAAAATTGTAAGAAACGAGGTACATTTTGTGGGATATCGAATTTCTATTGTGGGAAGTGTCGATTTCTTGCGTGTGTTGTGGAATAATTGTAAGAAACGAGGTACATTTTGTGGGATAGCGAATTTCTATTGTGGGAAGTGTCGATTTCTTGTGGGTAGTGTCGATTTCTTGCGGGTGTTGTGGAATAATTGTAAGAAACGAGGTACATTTTGTGGGATAGCGAATTTCTATTGTGGGAAGTGTCGATTTCTTGTGGGTAGTGTCGATTTCTTGCGGGTGTTGTGGAATAATTGTAAGAAACGAGGTACATTTTGTGGGATAGCGAATTTCTATTGTGGGAAGTGTCGATTTCTTGTGGGTAGTGTCGATTTCTTGCGGGTGTTGTGGAATAATTGTAAGAAACGAGGTACATTTTGTGGGATAGCGAATTTCTATTGTGGGAAGTGTCGATTTCTTGTGGGTAGTGTCGATTTCTTGCGGGTGTTGTGGAATAATTGTAAGAAACGAGGTACATTTTGTGGGATAGCGAATTTCTATTGTGGGAAGTGTCGATTTCTTGTGGGTAGTGTCGATTTCTTGCGGGTGTTGTGGAATAATTGTAAGAAACGAGGTACATTTTGTGGGATAGCGAATTTCTATTGTGGGAAGTGTCGATTTCTTGTGGGTAGTGTCGATTTCTTGCGGGTGTTGTGGAATAATTGTAAGAAACGAGGTACATTTTGTGGGATAGCGAATTTCTATTGTGGGAAGTGTCGATTTCTTGTGGGTAGTGTCGATTTCTTGCGGGTGTTGTGGAATAATTGTAAGAAACGAGGTACATTTTGTGGGATAGCGAATTTCTCTTGTGGGAAGTGTCGATTTCTTGTGGGTAGTGTCGATTTCTTGCGGGTGTTGTGGAAAAATTGTAAGAAACGAGGTACATTTTGTGGGATAGCGAATTTCTATTGTGGGAAGTGTCGATTTCTTGTGGGTAGTGTCGATTTCTTGCGGGTAGTGTCGATTTCTTGCGGGTAGTGTCGATTTCTTGCGGGTAGTGTCGATTTCTTGCGGGTAGTGTCGATTTCTTGCGGGTAGTGTCGATTTCTTGCGGGTAGTGTCGATTTCTTGCGGGTAGTGTCGATTTCTTGCGGGTAGTGTCGATTTCTTGCGGGTAGTGTCGATTTCTTGCGGGTAGTGTCGATTTCTTGCGGGTAGTGTCGATTTCTTGCGGGTAGTGTCGATTTCTTGCGGGTAGTGTCGATTTCTTGCGGGTAGTGTCGATTTCTTGCGGGTAGTGTCGATTTCTTGCGGGTAGTGTCGATTTCTTGCGGGTAGTGTCGATTTCTTGCGGGTAGTGTCGATTTCTTGCGGGTAGTGTCGATTTCTTGCGGGTAGTGTCGATTTCTTGCGGGTAGTGTCGATTTCTTGCGGGTAGTGTCGATTTCTTGCGGGTCTTGTGAAAAAATTGTACGAAACGAGGTACATTTTGTGGGATAGCGAATTTCTCTCGTGGGTAGTGTCGATTTCTTGCGGGTCTTGTGGGAAAATTGTAAGAAACGAATTTCATTTTGTGGGCTAGTGTCTTTGGTTCGTGGGAAGCGTTGATTTCTTGTGGGTTTTATGGGAAATTCGCAGGCAACGAACTTTGTTTCGTGGGATGGCAATTTTTGTTTCTCGGAGGCGTCGATTTTCTGTGACTTTTGTGGGAAATTTCTAAGAAACTAATTTCATTTTGTGGGTGAAGAACATGGCAATATTCGATATAACAGATGGAATACAGATATGGGCTAGGGATACTGAATGTGGGATACACGAGGGGAAATGATGAGCGTGAAACGGTAAACGTGGGATTAACGATGCTGTATGTGATGGATACAGAATACGAGAAATGGAATATGAAATATGGAATATGGAACGGAGAAATTAAACGTGGGAAGTAAGGTGAAAGATATGGATTAAGGTAATAATTACGGAATATAGCGTTTGAGCCTAGGGGTAGGAAATATAAAGTATGCGACGGAAATGTGAAACGTTGTATCCATTTAGGATAACGGATACGATTAAAAAAAAAATTTCAAAGCACCTAGTTATACGAATCGCACTCACTTTAGTAACAGTTGATGATGGTTCAGGCATGTTCGCAAATTTTTCATGCCTACGTTCCTTGACGACGATTCTGTTCTGGTAACCGACGTGCTTTCCGTTGCGATCTTCGTCTTTGTCGCAATTGACAACGACGCCAAAATCGGTAGCGATGACGGTGATTCAAACGAATAGGTATTTTCAATTCTAGATCGTACCGTGTCGAAATACCCACACGCGATCAGAATAAGCAAAGGACCAGTCGTGTCCACGCCGACACAGGTCAAACCGACGCTGATCATGGACCCAAGTTGAACAACGTACACGATCTCGTACCACGGTGTTTCTTGTACGTCGATAAAAAACGCGTACGGTAAACGTCGTCGCTTATCGTCCGTCGCTTGCAGAGATTTCGCAGCTTCCGACGGAACAAAGCTGCTATTGTTTCCATAAAGCGTAACATTCGCAAAATGCTTCGGTTCGCTAAATATCAAAGAGCCAAATTGTATCAACAGCACGTAGAAGAATATAGTTGAAACGCAGCTAAACAAGTAGCAACGACTCAATAGTTTCGCTTTGTTCGTGTAACTTTGAACGATCTTCTTTTCGCGTAAATTTAACGTCGACCAGAAAGACTCGCAAATGTTCAACATCGTTTGACAAGAATCGCGCAACCACAAAAGAATCACGAGTCGCGTTTGTCCTGCTACGAGTGAGATGATCATCGCGAATGATTCCAAAACGGTGGCCAGAGTGTACGAACTCGTTGCAAATTCGTACACGTATGAAACGGTGTTAATCGTCATGCAAACGAACGCCAAGCTCGCCAACGTATCTCTGCTCGCTCTTTCGCTCGAAACTACACCGGCCAATCTCAGGAGAGCCAAATTTAGATCGATCGTTTTTTCGAATTCACGTTTCGTCTTGTCGTCGCTCATGTCTATATAGCTTCGTTTGTCCCGGCTTTTAAATATGAACGTTCGACTTAACCGAAGTTCGGCTCGATTTTTTTATTGGTAGAGACGTAAACTCCCCGAAGAATAGTTCGCTTTACCGCGAGTCTCGCGAGTTTTCGTCGTATCGGCTCGGTCTGTCTATATTTGGCGATTCGTTTTTCCGTCTTTCTTCCCCACCCTCTATTTTCCCGTCTTTGCCTTTATTAAAGTTAATGCAACGCGTGAGAATCCGCGCGTTGTGTCCGCAAGCTCGATGATCAATGTTTCAACGCGTGCAGAAGTATCTCTCGTCGGACACCTATCATTATCGGCGAGAGAGGAAAGTTAAAGTCGAAGTTTTCCGACTGCGCGAAATTTCACGTAAAACACGCGACATCGCGTGAACATGACGGACGATTTATGTTTTTTCATCCTTACAAGAAAAAAATGACGTTGACTGAGAATCGTGACATTGCGGGATTTCGTGGATATAGGAAGATCGCGGAACTTGCGTTCTCCCGCTGTGAGCAGAAAATGGCATCGATTCCAAACCGAACGAATATAAAGCAAGATTTGTATCACTTTATAGAAGAATATGGTACGTACTTGTTAGTTTTACGTAAGTCTTGCAAACGTTCGCAAACGAACATCCCGAATGCATTGGTAGAACCAAGGAAAAAGATTAATACGTTTGCCAGATGAGCATTAATTAATTCGAGATCGTGAAATCGCAAAAAGATTTTGTCTTCTTGCATATCTTATTCTGTGCCTACCGATAAGATTCTGCTCTTTTAATTGCGTTCATAAAAAGTATAAGTTTGCATAAATATCCGCAGTCTAGTTATATAACGAATATACATACGTATACCTAGAATCGTTTATTCGCGTCCAAAATAAATTTCAACGAAGGAGCGGTTGAAATCTTAGCAGTTAAATCTTATTAGAACTAATAAGAAGCGCTAGAGTTGATAGCCAATAAACCTCGATTATCGGAACTGCTCGGTTGTCCGGGTTGTCTTGTCCATCAGTCGTTCATCGATAAACGAGATTCAACTGTGTAGTGCGAATACAATAGAACCTCATTTACCCGCACTCCGCTTATACATACAAATTAACGCTGTGCCTCTATTATTCCAACTGCGATTCAGCGTAATTTCCCAATATGTAATACGTACAACATTTATTTTGATTCAAAAGAAATTCTACGTGTTCAAGAAGAAGAGCAATTAAAGTCGTGACTTGGATCCTAATGTTCGAACTAATAAAAAGAACCGAAGAGAATATTCATCTAACAAATCTTTATACAATGTTACGATATTTATTTATTTACGCAATATTTATTTTGATTC